CGTACTCATTATTCAGTTGGTTGAATCGCATTTTATTTATTTATTTTTCTCTTTTTGTGTTTTATTTTTTGTTGCTTTTGTGCATTTTCAAAGGACGGGAGTCGACCATCTCAAGACCACCAGCATCACATTTTCAAATGGTATGTTGATGTCTCTACCTAAGAGTTTTTATAGAATAATGCTACTTATCTCCGTTAGAGATAACCACTTGTTTATGTGATTGATGATGTGAAATGAAATGATAAAATTAATTAAATATAGAGATATGAAACCTATTGATCATATCATTTAATGTTACATCATAGGATGTTATTTTTAATGAAGATAAATATTGTTATGTCTCGTTTGACGAGGCTCCAAAGGATCCTACGTGATAGGCAAATCTGGGCCCACACTCCACGTTACTCTACCTAAGAGGTTGTTTGGCCGAACCAATATGGAAAACCAAACCCGTTTGATGGAGCCGATCCCATATGGAAGTTAAACCTTTGTGACGGGATGAGGCTGCAAGGGGCCTAGCACGAGATCTTACATGCAATCCCTAATAAGTGATTGATGTGACAATTCACTAATGTTACTTTATCTAGTAAATCAGGTCAAGTCTAAACCTTTTTTGTCAAAGATATGGGCAACAAAATGGTACTAGTATTAAATACTTATGATTGATTGATGCCTGGACAAGGCCACATATGCCTTCATCCTACTACCAATATCCATCATATTCTAGTATAAAAGTTCTTACAATATGACATTCCAAGGATAATGCAAATCTAGACTCTTGAACTACAACTTTGCTATCCTTACTCTTAATATCATGAAATCTCGATAAGGCCGACCTCCTTTTTACATTAGAGGCTTGTGTCTAAAACACCTCCCACACTTATATATTCATTACTCCAATTGACTTGACCGTCGAGCGCGTGTTGCCAACTCCACCATCACCGGAGGAAGCCACGTGTGGCTACGCTTTGTCCAAGTCTGCAAGACCAAACTTACGTAGACACATGAGACCTTGAGATCTGTTGATCACGGTGGAAGCATAAAATTCGAGGTCAACAAATATCATTATTTAATTTTAAAACTTAAAAAAAAAAAATCGTTCCTTCAAGTATTGCAAATTAAATTCTCTAGTCATTTGTAATTCTTTATTGTTGGAAACAAAATAGATTTTTCAAAAAAAAAAAAAATTAAATATTTAACGGGGCCAAAATTGATAAAATCATTTTCCGTAATCCTATAAATTATATATTTCTTTAAACCCATATTGGAAATTCTTTTTATAAATTTTAAGTTCTAATATATTTTTCTTGTCCCAACATAGAAAAGGTGTTTTGGAGAGGTCCACGTACATTGAGATTCCTCGCCATAAAAAGGGGTTCCACTTTGACCTTTAGGGCCTGTTTGATTTGCTTTTTTCTCCATGGAACTTGGAATTTAATTTCTTTTTCCCACCAATTGACATGTTTGATGTGTAAAATTTGGAGGGGAAATGGTTTTCTTGGCCAAGGCTCACGCGCAGGGGCGGACCCAGCCCAGAAGTTCAGCCCGGGCGGACGTCGACAATGGCTATTGGCTCTAGACCTTTAGGTGGAGAGAGTGGAAGACTGGAAGTGGGAAGTCCACAGTGATGTGAATTTAGAGTAGTAGAGTATTGAAAAAGGAAGCTGCGGAGAGAAATTAACACCACAAATGCAGAGTATGCAAGTTATCTGCTGTACGCTTTATTTTAGAATTGAAGGTGCCTATTTATAGGCTTACAAGCAAATTGAAAAGCTAAAAAATCTCAACTAATATTAGATATTATTGCCACTACTTTCAGACTTATTTACTAACCAAA